CAATCAAAGTACTCTCAGTGTACGTGCCGTACCTCTAGCTTACTGGGAGAGAAAGGAGAAGGGGTGTTGTGTTTTCTAGGCCCCTAAGGGCCCTACGCGCGGCGTCAGAGCTCGGAACCGAGCTTTGCATGTCGCTCGGCGGTCGAGGATGGCTCGCTTCAGCCTTTTCCCCGGGGAGGGGGGGGGGGGGGCAGAGACCTCGATGGACCCACTAAGGCTGCACAGGAAAACATTGAGTGCAGCACACTCTACACACTCGCCCGTCTCCGCACACAGTGGGACCGCGGCACCTGCTTTGCGGAGGCAGCACACACGGGCCACACGACACCCGCCAACGAAAGTAAAGTAAAAACGGATGATGTGCAGGGTTCTCTGCTTTGGGGGGGGGATGGGGGGGGGAGGGACAGCGACGGGAGCGAGAGAGTGGGAGTGTAGACACACACACACACAGGGGGCCAGCCAGCGGGTGACGAGGTGAGTCCCGCCGATGTATAGAGCGATGTAGAGCGATGTAGAGCGCGATTTCACACGCATCCTTGTCATCATGCCAAGAGAGGTGCGAGGGAGTTGTAAAATTCGTTCGCAAGTCTCTCGTTAATTTTCGCAGCGACCTGTGTGGAGCTATACTTTTATTTAGTTTAACAAAATCAACTCTCGGTAAAGAATCCTCGATAGTTGCCGGGGACTGAAGCTCCCCGGACCTGCGGGAAAGGCGAGCGGCGCGTCGCCACCGCCGCCACTGCGAGCCGAGCGCCCGCGCGGTGCTAACCGCGCATCTCGCCGTGCTCCACGTCGTGCTCGTGTGCGCGTGGCGCAGAAGTCACTGATTAATACCACAAGTGAATGCTTCGGCTGCGGCCTCGCAGTCACTCTGGAGACGGAAATAGCCGGAGAAGGCGTGACCTATCCGCTTGTCGCAATAGTAGCCCCTTCCGGTGCTCACGATGACACCAGGCATCTCGACCATCACCAGCTGCAGCGGTTGCGAACACCCCGATCCCGCACGTGGACATACACCCCACGTGTGGCTAAGCTGTAGCGCACGGATCAAGAGCCCATCCGCGGCGCGAGAACGCAGAGGATGGCTGCTCAAGAGAGACTCCTCAAACTCCGTCCCTCGACAGCGCCGATACTTTGCCATCAGCTGAAAGGCTGCGGGCGCGTGCGAGCGTGGGACGAGGAAGAGCCAATCCTGCGCAGGCATCCAGCTCGGTGGAATCGGCCAGGACAAGTAGACGCTGTTCAGGCTGAGTCTTGAAGATAGCGCTGCCCCGAAAGCCGTGTCCAGCCGAAGACGGCCGACCCACTCGAACCGCATGCTGTGGCTCCGCTCGTACTCTTTCACCGCCTCAAAACATTGCCACCAACGCCCGATTTGCATCCGTGTCCTGTCATCTCTGCCTAATAGGGACGCGTTGGTGGTGCACTGTGGGTTGGCGTCGACGAACTTGCCAGTCAGAGGCGCATCCTCGACGTGCACGGCACGAGTGCCCCACACGGGGTTGCGCTTCAAGAAGGCTCGCACGCGACTGGCCGCGCTGAGGCTGCTGCTGCTGCCATTGCACCTGTGCGCGCCAGCGTGCTGATCATCCTCGACGGCAAAGAAGAGCCTGGCACTCGGGTCCGTTGGAAGGATGACGTGGTGCATGAGGCTCGTGTGCACGCTCTCGGCAAAGAAGGAACGCAGCAGCCCCGTCAAGCACCACGCAATCTTCGGCATCGCGAAGCCAGTGGCGGCACTCGCATTCGCCGCTGCCACAAATTTGCCAATAGGCGGCGACTCCGCCGCTGGCGTGAGCGTGCACTGCGCAAGCTCCCCATCGCAGAAGGGCTGCACGAGCACGTTGTGAAGCGCGTGCGTGCCCGGCGCGGGCGGGCGCTTGTCACGCTCGGGGAAATTCGGCCGATCCATTCGTTGTGGCCGCAGCTTGGCTGAATAAACGCCTTGCTCCCCGCACGCGCACGCGAACGCGCGCGGCGTCGCGACGGAAGCGACCGCCTGCAACGATTCTGCGCTGTGCCTCTGCGCAATGAGCGATGCAGCGGCCGGCGCTGCAGGCATGAAGGGCGTCGAGCAGTTGACGGTTGAATTGAGCAGTAGGAGCGGCAGCACGAATCCAAAGCGTTCCCTGAAGGCTGAGGACACTCGCTCAACCCACGCAGAGCACACAGGGCGCACGGAGGGGACGGTATCAAGCAAGACACAGAAGGCCGCCTCGATGACGCCGGGAAGCTGCAGGTCCCGGGCGTCGACAACAACCTCGTTGTGAAGAGCCAGATATTCGCGCGGGCGCGCGGCCGCAACACGGGCGCGACCAAGCCGCCGTTGCATGCGCAACATGCGTGCCAGCCCATCCGGCGGATATGCACACTGCTCGTGCCCCGTCCGCTGCGACCTTTGGCCGGTAAGCATCTGGGGCCCAGCTGGATCTTCGCACCAGTCAGGCTCGGGGGCCACGCACCGACGCGGCTGGTCGTCGGGCGGGAGTCGTCTTTCGAAGCCGCTGCAGGCAGTCCAGCACCCTGGGACGCACCCCGACGAGGAGTGATTGCCACACCTCCGTGCACCAGTGCCACCATCCAACGCGAAACTGCACAGCGGGCGCACAGAAGGCGACAGCACAACGCCACCCCGTTGGTCGTTGAACAGTGGGAGCCTGCCGTCAAGCCGACGAGGCACCTTGGTATTGATCAGCGAGCCGGAGACAAAGCCGGCAGAAACACGCCGTGCAGACATGAGAGCTTCGAGAAGAGTGCCCAACCCATCGTCCTGATGCACCAGTGCACCGGTTCCCCGAAAGCGCGAATTCAGAGTGGCGGACAGCCGCTCGCTCGACATCACCGTTCAGTCGCCACCCGAATACAGTCGGCGTTGAGAGAGGGAGTCCCGGTGCACGCCGGGCAACCGGCTGCTGCTCACCTGCCTGCGCGTCGTCGAGCGTTGGCACACCTCCGCTGGAGTTCTCCGCCAAGGAGGGCTACACGAGGCCCTCTACGCTGGGGTGCCGGCGCCCTACTGGGCGCCCCCCACTCCCTTCCCCATCC